AATTACAGAATATATCCAGGATATATAATTTGAGGATGTATCTTTAGATTTCACAAGAAGATTTCACAAGACAAAGCTGCAATTTATTGAGTCTAACTACATAAATTTACACCACAGTATTGACTATTGAACAGAGGCAGAGGAAAGGAGGGGAAGAGAGAGAGAGAGGGGGGGGTGGTGGGCAATGAGGGAGGAAAGGAGTGGTAGGCAATGAGGGAGGGGAGAGGTTGTAGGCAATGAGGGAGTCGTCCATCGTTGTTTTGGTCGTGTCACATTGTGGCCATGTTGGTTGTGGGCGACGAAGAGGCAATGGTGGTGAGTAAGGAGAAGTGACATCACAAGTCACAACATGTGACATTGCGGTATACATCGAAGTTCAAACGTTCAAGTTCACGCTCCTGTAGCACTGTTTCTGATTAAATTTGTAGACTATTAAGTAATTTGTATTCATTACAGAGATTTGTACCTAATGAGAACTCTGTGCCCACAGTTATGTATATTACAGTCTTTTACAGGTCCTCAATACACCCAAATGAAAAACTCTTCCCATCCATGAACGACTTTGGTTTTCCGAAATCTGAAGAGACAGAACCCTTTGTATTACCTTAAATAATCTATGTACCAGAGCATTTGAAGATACGTGCAAAGCTGGCTGTGTATCTTGTTGAATACTAGTGTATCAAGGAGGTATAAGTCCATTTTAGGAAATGATACTGACAACAACATGTCTCATTGCTCTGTATTCAACATTGACTGGTCATTACAACTATTGGAGAGTCTTTATAGAAGCCATATGTACCTGCAGATGATATAAGTACACGGATTTGAGGGATCATCTTGCCTGTATCCGCATCGTGGAACAGCTTCCAACCATCAACATTAAACCATTGTGTCATTCTTTTTGTCATTAGTTTCTTGCAACTGTTTCCTGAAGAACAAACCCAGAGTATTAAACCGTCTGCTCTTTGGACAGAGAAACATTTGTAGTGTCTACTTTTCGGAACTACCAAAATTTTGTCATTCACTGTTTGGGACTACAAAAACTACAAAAAATTGTATTATCTTCTTTTATCATTACAAAGTTTTGTAGTACCAGCTTTTTGAGACTACAACAATTGTAGTCTCCTCTTTTTTCATTACAAAAGCTTGTACTGTTCAATTTTTTCATTATAAAATTTTGTAATACCTGCTTTTTAAGTCTACAAACTTTTGTAGTCTCAGAATCTTAGTGAGCATGATCAGAGCGTGATCTTGAACTTCAACCTACAGATGAACAACGTCACAGAGTGTGACACTGTGACATTGTTCATCTGTTGGGACTCTGTGATGTTCCTTTTCTCTTCAACCCACAACTTCACCACCACTCCGTCAACGCCAATGACTCCACCTCACCACCACGTCGCCATCATGCCAGGTCACACAACCCACCACTGCAAAGAACCCTGGCCGCCCAAACCGACAACGACTGCCCAACAAACAACACACAAATGGCCACCACCCACGAAAATCAATGACCAGCACCCACGAAAGTCGACACACATGCCCATGGCACACCCACCGCAATGCAACAAGCATGCTGACAGCACACAACGACACACAACGTCGTCACGGAATAACTACAACCATCCCGGCACCATAAGAACGACGCGGGAGCGCCACATCACCAACCCCCAGCAAACACACGACATCGAAGGAGATCAATGGCAGGTGAGGACGATGGTGCCGAGGTTGTGCTGTACCCAGCCTGGTAAGCAGTCACCACCCCAGCTTTTTCCCTTCTGACACCAATGAGGTGCCACGTCGCTAGCTGCAACGTGGCAACCGGAGAGGTCTTATCAGTGCCCCTCTAATTCCTGCAGGATTCCGGTCATTCCTGCAGATTCTGGTGGATTCCAGAATTTGGCAGGGAGTCCTGCTATTTTCTTCATTCCGGTGCTTTACCATTCCAGCGGAATTTCAGCATTCCGGAATTTTGACTGGAATGGTCCCCGGATTGGTAAAAACGGAATGCAACTGGAATCCAATTTGTTGTTTGTTTGGCAACAGCTTTCACGCTTGTCCAAACACAACCCTCTCTCCTCCCACCACCACCAACCTCTCCTCCCACCACCACCAATGTCCCACTAGTAGCTGCCATTTACATCATGTAAAACCTGGCATGTACCATAGAAGTTCCCGCTTAACTACCGTGAATGAAATGAAATGAATTTTCATTCATTCACGGCACCTGTTTCATTCCAAGTCATTCTCATTCATTGCCGTCGAGAATGAAATACTTTTTGTTTCATTTCATTTCATCTCAATTTTTTCTTCATTTCTACTGACAAGAATGAAATTTATTCTGTTTCATTCATGCCTGGTGACTCTTTCATTTTTTTAATTTCATTCCACCATGGCAACTGTTTCATTTTTTGCTTTATTCTTTCGTTTCATTCATTCCTGGCAACTGTTTCATTTTTTTCATTCATTCATTGCCATGGAATTTTCATTTCATTCTTTCCAGGCAGTTATTTCATTTTTGTTTCATTCTTTCAGGCAACAATTTCGATGTTTTAACACACATCTAAATAAGGAAATAATATACAATTATGCCTGATATGTGTTGTGCCCTACTGCAGTGGTGTGGGAGGCCATATGGGGGTACTTTTGCATTTGAGGCTCAAATACACAATGAGATAGGCATGCTGTTGCCAAATAAGGCACTTAAATATTTTGTATCAATTACATAATCATTTTCCCAGCTCTAACAATGAAATAGGCACCTGAGAAGAATGAAGCAAGGAATGCAACGAGCCCCGGCGAGGTCGAGGCGACGAAAACGGACCGCGAGGGACGACCACGTCAACACACGACCACCATGACGAC